GAAGAAACTGAAAATAATGATATAAAATAAATATATATTTTTAAAAGTTCGTCTAACAATATAATATGATAATGTCCACACAAAAAAGTTTTAATTTCATCCATAAGGGTTATTCTGGACTGCAGCATGATGTAAACCCCATATAAATACATGCATATATGTACAGTGAACAATGCACTCTTGCAATAAATGCAACGTCTCACCTCTAAAGCCGTGCGTGCGACTTAAGTGAAAAGAACACTGACGGTAACCAGATGGATAAATTAATTGCCTTGCTGTGAGAACTAGCTAATTCGTTATTCGGGCTAACGGTTTGGTGTATTGAGACGATAATAAATAATAACGGGTAAAAATGTTATCCTTGAGAGCCGAATGATATTTCCAGCTTATTAATAAACAATTTGCTTTTACATGAAAAGTCTCACCTCTAAAGCCGCGCATGCGACTGAAATCTAAAGGTCTACAATTAATTGCTGTGAGAACTCAGTTAAGTTTATTTTTTTATTTGGGCTAATGGTTTAGGGTATTGAGAGCAGGATAACTGAAAACGGGTTATAATATTTTTTTTTTTTCAAAGGGGCCAAATGAACTTAACCCGCCCAGTATCAGTGAACAATGCACTCTTCAGTGGCGGATCCAGACCTTTAGATAAGGGGGGGGGGGGCGGTCATCCAGATCCTGAGATAAGGGGGGCCCCGGTTTCCAAAAAAATTATTTTCGGCCCTTCGGGCCTCAGTTTGATATAAAAATAAGGGGGAGGGAGGTCGCTCCCCGACCCCTTTCCTTGATCCGCCACTGCTCTTGCAATAAAAAAATTCGTGCAAGCTACAAATTCCCCATCCCCCCCCCCCATCACTTTTCTAATGGTCCCTAATGCCGCGCGTGCGACTTCAGTAAAAAAAGCACTGACCGTAGACCAGATAGTTAATTAATTGACTTGCTGTGAGAACTAACTTATTCGTTATTCGGACTTATGGTTTATGGTATTTTCGACGATAATAACTGAAAAGGGTAAAAAACATTTATCTTTCAGAGGCAAATGAAATTCCTGGCTTATTATAAACAGTAAAAGTCTCACTTTAAAAAGCCACGCGTAAAGTTGTATCAGAAAAGAATAAGTCATGGTTTTTACATCGTAAGACTTTCAGAAAAGTTCTAAGCATATGTACTGCTAGGCTTAAAACCATTGTAACTCTTGTAAATAAGTTCTTTGGTTTTTGAAAATTAAAACTATTTTGTCTTGTATTGTGTGATCTTGATGTTGCATGAAAGAAGAAAATTCTTTTAAATGGAAATAATAATGGCTTCTTTCTGAGATTTTGACAACTCACCATGATCATAAGAGTAGTTTAAGCTGTCTCCTAATTAATAGCTGTTCTAAAAGGCCCCCCAAACCCCTGTAAAATTCGACTGCCGGTCCGTCATTGCCTGGTGACTTGTTACTTTCAAACAGCTGAAGACTTTGTAACCTCTTCAACCGTTAGTTTTCCCTCGCCAATTTGAACATCATTATCAGACAGTTCTGGCATTTCAGGATTATTTAAAAAAGAGTTTAACGTGTCTTCAGATGGGCTAAGAGGATCACGCTTACAAAGATTAGAATATTAATAACAATTTTGAATTTCTTGCAAAATTTTTTAGGATCCGTGATTAGAACTCCATTATCGTCAAAAACCTTATGGACAGAACTCTTAGCTTTCTTATATGTTTCGCGGTTTAAAAAGAACTTGTTGCTTTAATTTTTCTCCTTTTTCATACCAAGTGGCTTTCGATCGGATTATAGCACCTTTTGCTATCTGTTCATAGATGAGGGTCGTGAAGGGGTAAAATGGGAACTGGGATTAGCCTTATTGTGGACTGGGAAAATGGGATTTACTCAATGAGACTGGGATTTAGCCACTGGGAATGGGATGAACAATTATAAAATGGGAATGGGATTTCTTTTCTTCAGCGGTCTTTGCTCCAATATTTTGAAATAGAAAAATAAAATTTCGTAGCAATAGACCTTGTACTCCTCAGTAGAGACCGTGAAATCAGTATTTTTCGCCTTCGCTCCCGCGGTCTAGCTACCAGGCTTACACGGTTGCATAGTTACGTTCTGTCAGTTTTCCTGGTCAGCGGACAAGTTCTACAAGTTTGCATATGGCGGGAAGATATTGTGAAGAGAAGATAAAAATCAGGGGCACCCAACGGCAATTTTCGGGAAAATATCTGTTCGGAAGACGAATTGGGAACTAGAATTTTCGGAACATTTGTTGTAAAATTTCTTGCTTGCCTGCCTCTCCTAGGATTTTCCAACATCTACAAAATGGTATAATTACCCATTTTAAACGGATATTTACCCTAAAAAAGGCCACCTAGAATTTTCGGGAGCCTTTTCCGGGATGAAATTTTCGAAAAGGTAAGTTTTGATCGCTATAATTTTCGGATCACTAGACTTTCAGCTAGGAAATCCGAACAGATGAAAAGTTTTGGGGGATAAAAATATGCTTATATCTAC